TCGGTCGTTAAATATGTTAAAATTAGCAACGAAATTTTATTCGGTCGCTAAATATTAGCTAAAATTAGCGACGAAATTCTATTCGGTTGCTACATAAAACTTAAAAAAATTTATAAATTGCTTAAAAGTGATGATAATATTGTTGTTGAGTATCAATCCCATTTTCTTTTTTTGTAAGAGCAAGACATTAATTTATAATAAAAAAATATTTATATGCACTCCTACATAATTAATACTAATAGTTATTTATGTGAAAAAATATTTAGAGTTTTTTTTTACGATTGAATTTTTAGGCATTTTTATAATTAGAGTATATGAATTGTTTAAAATTTCTTATTTATTTTGATCCATATTTATAATATAGATTTCTAACTTATGATAACTTTATTTTTAAATAAATTTTTATATTTAAATTTTATTGATATAAGAGATGTGATATCTTAAGGAAAAAAAGAATTATAACATCCTCTCTTTTTCTAATAGGAAGAGTACAAATGTATTTTCTTAACTATTAATATTTCTTTATTGTTGTGTGATAAAATTGATTTTTTTAAATTATTTTAAATTATTTAACTAGAATCTTATTAATAATTTACTATATGATTTTGATATTTTTGTATAATTAATATATGGTTTTAAACTTGATATGAAAATATTATGATATAACTAGATAAGATTTTAAATTAGTATTTTATTAATGGTTGATAATTAGAAAATAAAACAAGGATAAATACATTTTTTGAATTTTATATCTTAGATTTAAGATGAATAAATATATTAAGTTAATTAATAATTTATTTAAAATGTTAAAATTTAATTTATAAAAATAATATTTTAAAAGAGAAGGGTTATAATAACACCGGTATAACTTTTACTAAGTATTACATCGCTCAATAACTTTATATTAAATGTGAATTTTATAAATTCAACCGTTAGATTGAAAGTTTTTTACTCTTAGATCATATATACAAAATTTTATATGAATTCAAGATGATTTAATACTTCATTCTTGTAAAACAAGATTGACGTAATATATGCATTTCAAATAAAATATAAGCACTTTGATTACTTTTAAGTTGTTGTTCAATTTTAACAAAAATTGATATAAACATATAAAGTGATATGAACTTTCAATCTAACGGTTGAATTTACAAAATTCACGTTTAATATAAAGTTATTGAGCGGTGTAATACTTAATAAAAGTTATATCAATGTTATTATAACCCTTCTCATTTTAAAATATATAAATTATTACTTAAACTTTTAAATTTATATTAAATAATTTAAATTGTATCATAAAATTAATTTTAAATAGAAATAAGTAGATTGTTAATTATAAAAGTAAGTATGTATATAAATAGATTAATTAAATATAATATAATAATTATTATTAGTAATATAATTATTATGTATTATTATATATTTATAACGGTCCGAATATACCAAAATAATAAGGATCCAAAGATAATATAAGTATGAGATTGGATAGTTGAGGATGACTTAAATGAATTAATTTGTATTACTTATACTAACAACATGCATCTGCTTTTCGTAATCTTATCTCATCAGAACTTCACAGTTAAACGTGTTTGACTTGGAGTAATATAGCGATAGATGACCTTCTGGGAAGTTTCCAAAAATTGTGTAGTTAAGGACAAAACATGCTAAAAAGTTAAGTATTGTGAAATAAAATCCTTAAGAGGCCAAATATAAGTGGTTTGTAGCGATCAAATTTGCGACGTCTATAAAATTTAATAAAATAAAAAATGAGTATTTAGCGATCGATTTAGCGACCAATTTATTCGGTCATTAATTTGGTCTCATACACTTCAGCGACCAAAACATTGCAACCATTTTGCGACCGAAAATTTTTTCGTCACTAAATAGCTTAGCGACCGATTAAATTCGGTCGCTAAGGTAAATAGCGACTGATTAAATTCGGTCGCTAATTTGGTCACCAAGGTAAATAGTGACCGATTTTGGTGATCGCTAAATTGCATATTTTTTGTAGTGAAGGATATACAAACATGGGTTGGAAGACTACTAGGAGAAGGAGCAGTGAAAAAAGTTAAGCTTTAATTTTAGTCAAGTCCAAGTTGTAAATATAATTTTGTCCTTTTAACTTATTTTTGTCAAAATGCCCTTCTTTGAAGAAGTAGTAGTTTCTATGATTCAATATACACCAAGTTGTTGCACACTAAACTACCCTATTTTTTTTTCCAACTTTGGAGCTTAGCATACCTGGAATCTATTCAACATGACTTACATGATCCTCAGGTAAGACTGTGAGTGTGTTGACCTATCCGAACCATTGTTTCCATAGTTCCTCTATTTCTTTATAAGTGAATAGGTTATGTGAAATAGATTCTGGTTGCAAAGAATAGAAGGGACCTATGTTTTCTTCTACTTCTAGACCCACTTGTCTTCTTTTAAGGTTCACAATCATGGCCAAGCTATCATTGTAGACTCTCCACAAAAAGACTAAAGCCTTAGGGGGGCACTAAAGTTCCATAGTTGAATGAATTTGTTTTCCACCACATTCTCATGTTGCTTCTTATATAGTGGCTTGTAAGTTGTATTAATCAAAAATTCCATTGTTACTAGCTAGCCAAAGGCAATTGTCCTCTTCTCTTTTATTCATTTTTACATTGGATAGCAGATGTTGAAGAGTTTCCAACTAGGAAGATTCCCAATGAAACCAATCTCTCTTCCATTTAAGATCCCAAATCCATGAATCACCGTTCCATCTTCCCATATTGGCTATCTTCTCATTTTGTTGTTCCAAGTTTATGTACAATCTTGGTAGTGCCATTGCAAGACAATCCTCCCCAACCCAATAGTCTAACCAAAATCTCATTTGATCCCCCTTCCAACATTCCAAGTAAATAGCTTATCAAACAACTTTGATTGATTATCTATACCACATGTCTCCCTCAAGTCTTTTCACCATATGGAAGAATAACTTGTTGTCCCATTACCCAAATTGTACCATTCGCCATACTTGGACTCCATAATTTTTCCCCAAAGACTTTTCTTTTGATAAAAGAGATTTCATCTCCACTTAGCTAGGAGAGCATCATTGAAACCACTTATATTTGTCACTCCAAACCCACCTTTATTTTTAGGCTGACAGATTTTTTATCCACCTCACTTATGATATTTTCTTGCTTGTTTCCATCCCACCCCATGAAAAATTCCTCTAAATTCTTATAATTTGTTTAACCACTATTTTTAGCATCTTGAAAAAAGTTAAATAGAATAAAGATAAAGATGATAATACTGAATTAATCAAGCAAAACCTTCTAACCATAGACAGTAATTTGTTTCTCCACTTGGCTAATTCTTTTTGCATCTTATGTAAGACTGATTTCTAAGAACACGCCTTTCTTGGATTGGCCCTTATAGGCAAACCACACTACAAAAAATTTTGAAACTATAGACGACCAAAATCTATGGATAATCAAAAAAATTCATGAGTAACACTTCATTTCCAATGGATTACAAAAGGATAATAATTCGTCGGTAAATTGCTCGTTTGAAACATTTACCGACGGATTATAATCCGTGGGTAACTTTTCGACGGAATTACCCCGGATAAAATCTATGGGTAATTACCTACGGATAAAATTCGTGGGTAATTGTTGATAATATTTTTAAAATATTATTTCAAAATTATATTAAATAACACCCTTATTTAGTGCAACATCTCTCATATCTGACCTTTCAACAACTCCATTCCATGACACTTCACGCAATTCCTTGTTGGTCAGAACCCTTCATCGATCAGAACCCTCTATGAGTAACCAGATAAGAAGTAACAATTTGGTGAAATGTATTCAATGTCTTTATTTAATGCACCAACAGACACTCCTTTTCACAAGGAACGAAAATGAAAACAAACAAAACAAGTTTGTGATAAACACTCAAGAATTTGTAACGATCATTTTCACAAAACACATATAAAAAAGTTTGAATAGTCAGAAAAGAGATACTTACGAAAAGAAAGAACACTCATTGTAAAAATATATTCTTCTTTTTGTAAAAAATGTTTTTGTCTAAATTGATTGTACCACGTCTTGATAGTAAGATGAAACAACATAATGATTTATCAACTTTAACTTCATGTTATTACTTTGAGTCTCTATAAAAAAATATTGTGTGTTCTTCATGTTAGTTGTTGAAGTTTGAAATTTGATCGAGTTAATAAAAAAACTGGAGATAGTCTCGATGGTTGAAATGAAACAATATAAAAATATTGTGTGTTCTTCTTACTAGCTTGCTTAACTTTTCATATGCATATGTAAGGTTTTCATACTACTTCACTATTTCAGTAAAAATGTTAAGTTTTTTATTAGTATTATTCACACCTCCTTCTTGTATCTTTTTCACATTTATCTTAAATTTGAATGACTAAAAATATATTTAATCTAAAATAAAGATAAAGGTTAATAATAACTACTCCTACTGGAGCAAAATATTTTTTTTTATGATTTTAGATTTTTCCACTTGTTTCAAATTTTTTTGCTTTGCTTGTTTATTTATTTATTTTATGTTTTACACATTCCAACTGTTTCCACATATACTTTTATTTGACAATTAATATTTATACTCCATAATCATAATTTTTCTTACACTACATATTCTAAGATATTAATAAAGGTATTAAATATTTCTTAAAAGATGTGTAAAAATCTTAAATATAAAAAAAAATGATTCAAAAACAATATATTTTATATACAATTGTCCTATTAAAAAATTAAAATAAAGTTCTAGTAATAACAAGTTACAATTCTTGTTGATTTTAGAAGCTTTTTTAAGTTCAATAAAAAGAATTTACAGATAATTAATACATTAACAGTTTAAAATATTTTATATATCATCAATCAATCATATATTATAATTAATATAACTTTTTACTTATTTATCCTAAAAGCTATCTATTTATAAAAATAATATTTGTGATCGGATATCGCTGTCACCTATTTTTTTTTAAATAAAAATAAAGGTTTAATGCATGTCATTTTCCATTTTAGATGTACATAGTACTCCTTGTTTAGTTATGAGAAAAACTTAATGGTTTGAAGAGCAGTTGAAATATGAGAATTTGACAAGAAAAACATAGAGAATAGTTGTAACTTGTAATCTAATCCATCAAGAGAGCGGGAAATCGTCTAGGATCAGTGATATTGATTTTCCAATGTCCATCGGGTAACCCCATCTTCTTGGCCTTCCTCCGCTCCCAGTTGAGCTTCGTCTGACTCCGTTTTGTCAACCCACAAAAGCTCTGCAACCCTTGATCCATGGCGTCGTGGAGCTTCCACCACCTGCGATGCGCCACGTCACTGGCGTAGACCCTCTGCTCGAGTGTGTCCCAGTTGCAGTCGTAGTCCCTGTAGCAGTGCCAGGGCTTCCACCCGAGGTAGTGGATGGCGTAGACCTTGGGCGGCTCCGCCCCCATCATGGCGTTCTTCACCCGAGCCTCCAGCGTGGTGTTGGCCCAGAAGTTCTTCAGAAAGTTCACCCTCCGAGGCAACCTGTGCCACCACACGAACACCTCGTTCAGAAACCCCTGGTCCCCCCCGTTGTACGAAACGATGTCGTCGCGCTGCCGCATCAGAATGCGGAACGTGCACTTGGACGGCTCGATCACCATGATCCCCGAGTTGAAGATCGATTGGTCGTTCCCCGTCGCCGACATCTGCGGGAACTCGAAGAGGATGTCCAGTTTGCGGAGTACGATGATGTCCGAGTCGATGAATATTACTTTCTCGTAGTCTGTCAGCTGCCACAGCCTCAGCTTGCTGTAGTTGTATTCGTTGTAGCTTCCTTTCTCCGCTTTCGGGTTTCGGATCCGGGTTATCACTCGGATCTTCCACCCCGCTTCCGACAGCGCCACACGTGTGGGAACCGAGATTGACTTGTCCGTCAGCAGGATTAGGTCGCGTTTTGTCCCTGTCTGGCGGAGGCTCTGCGCCAGTGTTATTGCGCCGCAAACGTACACTTCCGACGAGTGCAGCACCGTCGCGTACGCTGACCGTTGCATTCTTCCAATGCTTCTCGCGCTTTTCTCGATCTTCGACCAGTCGTACACCTCGTCAATTCCTGCACTCCGAAAGTCAAAACTAAAAGAGAGAGAGGGACAAAAAAACAAAGTTATTGCATGCATAATTGAATAGGACATGACATGACTTGTGGCTTTTTGTCGGATGTGAAACTTGATTGGAAACTGCTAACTAATTTTGTTTGTATGCTACGTTTGAGAAACAAAGGCAAGTTAAGCATGAAGCTATCCACAGTTGAAGTGGTTGCATGGTTGGTATAGGTTGTTAAACCACCATTGAAATAAGTATGCTGCTTCTAATATTTTTCACTGTCCTCCGGCCCCTCTACTATCAACTATCAAGAAAAAGTTTCCATAAAGGTATAAATGACAAACAACACATACCATGAGCAGTTAGCTCATTGATTAGGGAATTTTAAAGCTTCAATAATTTATCATATGCATTTATTATACGTTCATGATATCTTGATGGAAATAAATGTTTTTATGAAACATTTTTGGATGACTTTTTTTCATAATACGTTAAGATACTGTATTAGATAAGAAATTGACAACAAAAGCTTTTTTTTTTAATATTGAAAATGACATTAAAATTTTTCACTTTTAATTTCTTAATCATTTACTTTTTTTATTAATGCACCAAATTTATTTGAAAAAATCTCACAATTTAAAGTTAAAACATTTATGATTAACGCATGCTGTATGGTTAATAGAATCTTAATCACTATCATGTAATTAGACAGTATGAGTCAAGTGCAAAAATAATATAAAAAAATAAAAAATGCACGATAATATATAGTTTTAGAAAAGTTGGCAGACACATGTGTACACTTTATATGGGGATTGCTCCGGTGCCCTCTTATTTGAAGGGGTTTTGGTGCCCCTCAGTACAAAAGTTGGGTTTTTAGGGGCAATAAGGTAAATTGATAGCCTTCGGACAATTTATCAATTTACCTTATTGTCCCTAAAAACCCAACTTTTGTACTGAGGAACACCAAAACCCCTTCAAATAAGAGGGCACCGGAGCAATAGCCCACTTTATATAGCAACGTAAGGAGGAAAAGAAAAGAATATGTAACGTTGAAAACCTTGTTCCCAGAGAGGCAAGGCCAACTTGCAGGAGCCAACGGGCAATGAAAGCTTGTGTTGTAAGCTCTTGATATCAGGTTCAAAATACCACCATTCACCTTCCCGCTTAACCAAGTGGTCGCATGGAAAAAGCTCCAGCAATGGTCTACACTTGCTCCAAAATACCACTTTTGTCTTCCCTCTCCCATTCTTGGCGGCTAGATTAGCAACTATGAGATGAACTTGCAACCGAAAAACGTCCCTCCCCCACCCTTGTTTGGGATAACTGCATGGCAGCTTAGCCACGATCACATCCATGCTTCCATATTCTGCATACTCTGCCATTGGTATCTCCGGGCATGTTGGCACACCATTCTCTTCCTCCTCGTCTATCCATTCCGGAAACAAGTCTGTCCAGTTCAAAAACTCTGACACCCTCTCAAAATAAACTCTTGTTGTTTCCCCGTGCATGCTCCATCCACTCACATCGTCTTCTTGCACGTTCACCATTCCTATTTTCATTCCCCTCCCCAACTCGTCAAAAAAGCTTGGTACTTCTATCTTATTTGCACCCTTGTTCCCTTGAGGTACCTCCAATACTGCTTTCATTTTCAAGTTACGTTCTGTCTACAAATTTTAAGATTAGACAAATAAGAATGCATGCTTCATACGCACACCAACTAACTCAAAGTTTGAATCCAGCATATACTCACGAATTAAGGTCCACCTTACCCTGTGATGACATTCGCGCAAGGAGCACCTCACGAGAGAGCCTGCATTCTCGAAATAGTCAGAAGAAAGTGGAGGGAGAAGAACGGTTGCATAAACAACCAGAAAAACGAAAAGGAAAACCAAATTGATTCTGGTAATCAAAGATTTAGATGCCACTGTCTTCACCATCTTTTGAGGACTTGAACCATGCATATCTTGTGCAGTATTATTAAGAATGCCCGAGTAGAGGACTGGACTAAATATCTAAATGTACTAGCCACACATCACTTTACATGTGAATTATGTAGTAGTTAAACATAATGATGTATATAAGGAGTGAGGATTGGTGGTAGGAGCAGTAGTAGTTAGAAAATTAGAGTAAATCTCAAATCAAGGAAGACCATTTACGTAGCTCCGTGTGTCCTTTCCTTGCTTTTATATTTCCTTTCTAGCGAGACAAATGTAATCGGAAGAAAACTGTTCTACTTGTATTTCAGGCCGAAGGTCAACTAAATTTCTAGAAAAAATGTGAAATTACCTATGCTTCACTGTATGCTTCCAGTTGCTAAAATCAGTTCCGATCTAGGGAAGGGTAGACAAGTAAAAAACTAGTCCAGTAGCACTAGAAAATACATAATTGGAAACGTGCATGAGCTGAATAGCTGCCTCGCCAACTATTCGGTTGATACGTCGCAAAGAGAGATTGCTATTATTTGTTCATCAATTGCGAGGCTCCACCAAATCTGGATAGTTTATATCTAATGCAGTAACTCTTTCCGCATATCATGTTCAAAATTAATATAAAATGTTTGCAGGTTGCACGTCCGCACATCACAAATCACCAAAAATGATTTCAGGGGAAGTTTTGCAAGGGGCTACATGCCAAGGGCGGTAAACTATCACATTTTTGTCCCCACATCCATGATTGATTAGACCAAGTAAAAGTGGGGACAATATGAGAGACCAATGGGAAGCTCCGCATTTCAATCATACAATGAAATAGCCCGCGGCAGTAGGTCAACTATGTCTTTTAGGACTATTGTAAATCGCCCTCTTCAGGTGGTGAATCAATCCCATTATGTCCTCCAAACACCAAGGGTGATGAATCGTGATAACCCTCCTTCAATGTCCATCAAAAGAAAGAACAAAATTTCTAGATCACTCATCTTCAAAAACAGAATGGATATCAAATGTAAATGAAGATCATTCTCTTCCCTGAACGCATAAAAGTAGAATTTAGGGAACAGGATTACAGTTATTGCCAAAACAAGTAAACTGTACATGTATGAGTAAGAACACCCCTCATTCATTTGGTACTTTGCATACTCAACAATGGTGGTTCCAACGACCTCATAATTGAAAATGTACGTTAGCCTTTATATCCTCTGATACACATTTAGCTTATATCCACTAAGAAACTTAAAGCAGTATCTGCATCAAAAGGAATTTCTATTGAGAAGACAGAGGTAGAACACGACTATCTGAAGGCAGGGGTCCTGGCATCTCAACAGCTGATTAAATCGTGACAACAATAATTTGCTCATGAAAACCACATGAAATTATGGTTAGATCAAGTTCGCATGCTGGAAGTCATTCATTAATTTCTTTTATGTGTTGAGAGTGACTTTTCCCTGGTGGAATAAAAATCAAATCCTCCCATCCTGAACTCCTTTCACTCATCTGTATCAATGGAGAGAGAATTTATCAGAATTCAAATTATTGCCAAGCTTATAAGCTACGGAATTTGTGAGCAGACTTAACTACCTCCATTTTTTTCAGTACATCTTCCAAGCTACCAACCTGTTAATTTATTAAAAAAAGAAAAGAGAAACATAAACAAACTTCAAATACACAATAAATTATAAAAACAAATCTACTATAGCATGTAAATTATTTTATTATTTAAATAAACAACACTAGATATCAACCAGAATACCAGGGTTGAGGTTAGCAAATAGGGTCCACGTGGTTACTCAACCACACAAATCCGCATCCACTTTATTTTTTTTAAAAACGAGTTTCTTCCTTTTCCTGACATTTTTCATGGAAGACAGATTACAAGAGTTTATGCGTGATCTTAATCTAACGTGAAGAAAATTTAAGTCTTGTTTGGTTTGAAAAACCGTTCCTTGTTTTCTTTTCAAATTTACACTAAGAATTACATCCGTTATCTTGTTTTCACTTTGTTAACTGTTTTCAGAGATTTATACAGAAAATGGTGAAGACAAAGCTTTTTACAAAACTTTTGCAAGCATGGAATAGAATAAAAACATGGCATCTTCATAATCGCAAGTAGAAAAAAAATGAAAACAAAATATTTTATTTAATCAAACAAGTCGTTAGATTGCTATTTCGAGCCTATTTGGTTATAAGCTAGAAATGCTTTTGAGAACTTCTTTACTGAAAATAAAGTGTATTTTCCTGTAGAAAAAACCATCTATTGAACAAATGCTTTGTTTCTCATGCAAATTGAAAAAAGACATCAACAGAAAGCAAATCATTTATATAACTAAAACTAATTATTCCATCCATAATTGCTTCCAAGGTGATATAGTTTGGTTCAAAGAAAAATTTAAATAACACAAGAATTTCTTGACTTAATTGACTTAAAAGAAATTTATCTTACGTCTATGAAGAAAATATGTTACATAGACCACTATGATTGAACCAAATGGTCAGCAAGTTTTGCAAGTAGATCATACAGGTAGTTAAACGTTAATTTTGTTCAAATTAAGTCTAGCATAAAGCATATGCAACACAAAATTAGCTTCAAGAGTTCAATAAAATATGCTAGTTTTTTATGATTACAAAAAATTGTGAAACTAGTAACAAGAGCTTTGACAAGTACATTGTAATGCCAAAAGTATAAAAATTAAAATAAAGAATACTTGAAACATGCTTTCAAGTAACAAAAGCAAGATATGGCAGATTCTTTACCGCTATATGCTGAGAGACACCAGGTCCTCTAGATGCCTTGGAAACTTTGGACAGTTCCTGCTCGATATCCTCCTATCCATTTAACCAGAAAATGATAAAATACTATATAATTATATTCTATAAAGAAACATACACATGGCATATGATGTCTTAATAATGTAATTGAAATAACAAGTAGATCAATGAGTCAGACAAACCTTTGAGAAATACACAGGGCAGTAACGCTTATTCTTCTTCTTCACAACCAAAAGTTCTGACTGTAAGCACATATGATTATTAGTCAATAGTACCAATCTTAACACTGAGACGAGGCAATACTAAAATAGTTAAATGGCTTAAAATCAGCCACACTCTAAAAATGTAAGCATCATATACCACAAATCAGCTGCAGTTAATTAGTTGACAGTTAGTTCAGTGAAAAAAAAATGTACTGATGTTTGTACAGATAGTATATAAATGTATAAAACATAAGACAAGCTCATAACATTTTGTAACTCCCCCCCATAAACCATCTAAAGTTACAAACAAATAAGAGAATATACCTGAAAAACAGGAACTCCGTCAAAACCTCCTTTGTTGGCTGGTTTGAGCTGATCAACATGAAATGGAAACTAAATTAAACACAATCTAACAGCTCAGTGCACCAACCAACATATTTGCTACATGTTTATGTATAATTTAGTTTAAATTGTTGTCACATAACTAATTCCCATACTGCAGCCACCATGTACATTGTCAAAGCTTCTTTCTGTCAATATCGTGATTGATATTGGACTGAAATGGTGAACAATAATGGTGTGGCGTAAAGTTATATGTTTTATGCAATAATTAAAACAGTAACATGCTAACCTCCAAAGCGTTCTTTATTTGAACTGGATCGGGTAAGAATCGGAATGCAATGCCTTCAACCTTCAACATGTAAACCTGTGGCACAAGAATAGTCATATGCAAAAGGTACAGGATAGACAACATAGTTAAATGAGCTTAAAAAATTATCCAGTTGTGCTCAGTAGCATATCCTCCCCTCAAATAGGAAAAGTGGACAATAATATTCGTGGTAGTAAAAATCTATTAAGTGTCCATGGAACATAAGTCATGACATAAATGCTAACAGCCACATAGCCATGTCAATACAAATTCAAAGGGGGGAAATACATTTTGGATTGTTTCACTCAATCGAGCCTCAAAGGTAAATATGGATTAAATCATTGACAAAGAATTGTTCCTATCTTAATTGATTACTTGATTCCTTTCCTAATTGGCTTTCAATATGATAGAAGCCAAACCACAACTCTATTTAGTGTCAAACAAGGACTAGTCAATTAAAGGCATTTGATAGATACAAGAAACGAATCCAGGATCCACATTGGCAAAAATACGTAGTGAGAGTACTCCCGTCTCCAAGAATCAAGATAAGATAATACGCTGCTAATCAAGTAACAATCCGCATAATTGTGGTCAATATACACAATTTCACAACATAACATACTATTACACAGCAACAGTAGCAATAGATAAAAACAGCACTAACATTTGCATTTACTGTTCAGTTTAGAAAACGAGCATTAAATGGAAAAGGACCTGGTCGAGAGTAATTGGAACAACCCTAGCCTTGCCTCGAAGTTCTCCTCTCCGTGATCGAACCTAAAAGAGGGAGCGAGAAATAAGGAGGATAAAGAATAGAAAGGAAAAAGAAAAAAAAAGGCGAAATTAGAATGTGGAAAGAAGAAAGTGAAACCTGAGCGAGGAAGGCTTCGGCGTCCTCTTGGCGAAAGCAAAGCAATCCGATGGACTTGGCGCCGTCGGCGTTGGAAATAAGAACGAACTCATTGTTGGAATTGCTGACGGTGTAAACGGAGGTGCCGGCGAGGGACTTAGCGACGTGGTGGGAACCCAAAGTAGCAGTGGCGGCGAGGGCGTGTTTGGGGGATAGAAGATTGTGATGAGCCTGGGCTAGGGCTCGCTTGGTGTCATCCAAACGAGTCGCGAGACGGACGCAGTGTTGATGGATGAAGGTGGAAAATGACAGAAGCGGGTTCGAGTGTCCGCGAGACTCCATCTAAGCTTTCGTCTTCACCCAACCATTCCACGTTAACTATATAAATAAATATCTCATTTCCATTTCCCATGTTATCTAAACAAATCTTAATTACGCCTTAATCCGTTAAATCAATTCGGCCCATTAGTTAATAACGCTCCACTTTCGTTCGCAACCAAACAGATCAGAGTTCGCCACAATATTCACCACATTCCAGTATAATCTTTGCACCTTCTATTTTTCTTTTATATATACACATGTTATAAAGGAAATATCAAAATATAAAATTATTTTATTTTTACTTTAGTAGATTATTATACTTTTAAATATATAAAAAAAATTAGTTAAAAACTTAATTTGGTCCCTTATAATATTTTTTGTTTCAATTTAATCTCATTTTAATTTTTTATTTCAATTTGGTCCCTAATAATTTAAATTATTGCAATCTGGGACATGCGTCCAAATAATTTAAACGGGGTTAATTCCTGGTGATGTGGACGCCACTTGGATGCGGACGTGGATGCTTAATTTTTTCATGCATTTGAAACCAGAACGGCCCGAAACCGGATTGCACTCATGGTGCGTAAATTTGGCATCCGGAATAGACGTTCCAGATGCATTATTTAACACTAACGAGTGCATTAGAATGGGCCGTTCTGAAATCAGAACGGGTCGTTCTGGTTTCCAAAACGGACCGTTTTGAATTCAGAACGGGTCGTTCCAAAACGCCAACCAACACACAATGTGGTTCAAAGATCAAAGACAAACCATTTACACATACATAATATTTTTTATCTAAAAAATAATATTTTAAAAAATAAAAATTATATCCTAATAAATACATATATATATATATATATATTTAAAT